GACCTGTTAACGCTTAAAATGAGTACTTCGCTTTTCCTTTCCTGACTGCAGAGTGTAGTATTAGCTTGGATTTTGGAGCACACATCATAGAACCTTCGTCCTTTTGGTTCCTTAGTCTGTAGTTCTTGTCACTCCTTCGCAAGTTCCTTCGTGACTTTCAGATTCCAGCCTATTTAAGGGTATTTTAATCTCCACCTCCTCATTTTTTAGAGCATGTTTTATTGCTTTGTCAGTCATCTCATCGCCGGGTATTCCAATACGTGCCGGAATCCATGCTATTTGTTATACAGACCGCTGCCTAAATTGTTTCCGGAGTGAGGAACATTATTTCATTTATGATGTCATTTCTGCTTTCCGAAGTCCCTGTTCCAATTGTCATTTTGCCTGACAAGGAATCAGATAAAATTACAGCTCTGGCCAGCATAGGCGGCAGGTATAAAAGGCCAGGGGATGCTAAGCCTTCCCTGGCACAGCCGCTGTGGACCTGCCGCTGGACACCTGGGCCGTGGTGGCCCCGCCAGCGTTCTACCTCTTCCCCTCCCTGCTCCTCCCCTTCCCCAAGGCCCCCACCTCCCATCCCTGGCCGAGTCCCTCCTCTCCTCCAGCCCCCTGCGCCCGCGACACACCCCCCCACCCGTTGCTCCTTGTGTCCCTGCAGGTGGTGGGGGCCTCGCGGGGGACGGGTGAGGAGAGGAGGAACGCGGTGAGCGGCGGTGGAGAGGGGCTGAGTGGGGAGGGGGCCGAGCAGGGGCAGGGCCTGGGGTGGAGCGGGGACAGGGAGTAGGTGGCGTATGAACCGGGCTGCGAGCAGAAGAGGTGGGACAGGGAGCTAGCCTCCCCCAGGGGAAGCTTCACCAGCCACCCATGCCGGCCAGTTGCACATCTCTTACCCAGCTCAGTGCCAACAATATCCTGATTAGATCACCCGTCGGAACGGTCACAGGAGCCGGTTTAGATTTCTGGATTCCAAGGCTAGGAACACAGAAGGCTGTCCCCACTCTACCCGTGATGTCATTGTTGGATCCCTCTCTATAGACTTGGCAAAGCTCAGCCCTGAACTGAGCCACATTCTCACCTTTTATTCTCCCTCCAGGCTTGGCATTGACTGACGGTGCAGCGGGGAGGGTCTAGCTGGGCCCACAGACTCTCTTTAACCCCTTCTCTGCTGGTGTGGGGTCTCTCTCTGTGCCATCGCAGGCAGTAAGTGGGTTATGGTCAGTTTCAGATATCACAGGCCTCCCTTAAATAAGGACCTGGAACTTTTTACACCTATAGACTACGAGAAAAGCCTCCTTCTCTGGCCAAGGGGATAAGGAGGAACAGGGAGTGAGACCACAGTTCCAGCATGGCTGGGCCCCCCCACTTCTACCCAGGTTCCTGCAGAGGCCCCCAAATTGGCCAGGGCCCCTGGGCATGGGCCCCATTAATCCACCATTGGCTTGGCGCTTCTGGTCATGTTCTTCTACAGCTCAAAATGTCACCTATGTAAATCTTGGTACCCTCTACACCATCCAAAATGTGTTGCATTTTCCAGTGAAACATTGTGGGTGCTGAGCACAGCCCAATCTGCACAGTCTGTCTCCCAGAAAGAGTGTGAATGTGCACAGACATAGGGTCTGTTTTCCACCTGGCAGAACCCTGCTGATGCATCCTGTGTATAAAAATATCTGGCATCGTTCACCTCCACAAAGACATCTCTGCTTTGTAGGTAGTAGGAAAAGTTCCCTTTTTATGTATTGATTTAATTCTTTAATTGATTTAATCCTGCATAAGCCAAGGGTTCTGTCTTGCCTACAGTCACCAGTATGTGATTAGTCCTGCCACGAGTGCCGGGAACTGGACTAGATGACATCTCGAGGTCCCTTCCAGTCCTATGAGTCTATGATTCTATGTGTATCTACTCCTGGTTCTTCTGTTTGATCTATGTTTCCCAGAGCAACGAGCGGCCCATCTCCTCTCTTAGCCTTTGCCTTAGGGTGATGGGAATTTTTCCAGGGATGTGAATTGTAGGGCAGTTGGGCTCTGTCATAAACATACAGCTAAGGGTAGCATAAAATCCCTCCTTACCTGCAAGGGGTTAAGAAGCTCAAATAACCTGGTTGGCACCTGACCAAAAGGATCAATAAGGTGAGATGATACTTTCAAATCTGTGGGGGAAGGTTTTTGTACTCATTTTAAGTGTTAACAGGTCATTGTGCCTTAAATGATAAGTTACAGTTATTAAAAAAGACATAAAGGCAGGCTGGGTAAAGTGTGCAAAACCAAAGACACTGTTCAACCAGGTTATCTGAGCTTCTTAACCCTTTACAGGTAAAGGAGGGATTTTATGCTATCCATAGCTGTATGTTTATGACAGGCTCTTTCAGCTTTATTGTGTACCCTATCCCCTGGAAGATGTCCTCAAACTCTTCCTCAATTGTTTTGGTCCCCTGCCCCTCCAGTGAGAACCCTCAGGGCTTGCCATGCTCCTAACCCAATGGTTCTCAGCTGGCAGCCCGCGGGCCACTTGCAGCCCAATCATCACCGAGCTGCGGCCCATTTAATATCCTCAGGGCCATACAAGTAGTATTGGATGTGGCCCACAAAGGTAAATAGGTTGAGAACCACTGTTCTACCTCAACAGCGCACGCTCTTTTCCCTGGCACTATTACTAATTGGATCCTTTCCAGTTTGTTTTTTACCCATACAGCCATAGGAGCTGAGTTTTACTTTTTCCCAGGAGTGCTCCATGCCTGCTCCACCCAGAGGTCCTGTCCCCATTCCACTCCTCCCCCAAAGGCCCTGCCCCCATTCCACCCCTGAGGCCACGCCCTCACTCCGCCTCTTCCCAGCCCTGCTCCGCCCCCTCCCCCGAGGCCCCTGCCTGCCTGCTACTCGCTGCTCTCTGCCCTCCCACAAGTCTCTCTCCGAGCTGCCAAACAGCTGTTTGGCGGTGTCTCCAATCAGCTGTGGCTGGTGGGTGCTGAGCACTCACTGTTTTTTTCCTGTAGGTGCTCCATCCCCGGAGCACCCACGGAGTCGGCACTTATGCATACATCCAGTTTGCATGCTCTCTTAGTGGGGATAAGCTCAGCTCGGTAAGCCCTGAGTTGTACCCGTTTATCTTCTACTGCCCGGGGGCTTTTCTGTCAGTGCTAGTATCACTGTTTCTGAAACCACAGTGGCTCGTACACCTGCATCGAACTTAAAATTAACAAATGTCCCATTTGCTTTCAGGGTGACAGTCCCATCATCTTCTGCTGCAATGCGGTTCACTGCTCCTGTGAAGAATTCCTCTGCACTAGTGGTACAGTGGCTGTTCTCTATGTCCATGCTGTGCACATGCTACTGCTGCTTGCAAACTTTTGTAAACTGATATAATCTATTGCCATTCTTGCCTCCTTTCCCATAGGCCGGGCGTTGTCTTGGCTTGTTCTGGTTGTCACACTCCGTGCAGCTCCATGCACCGGTCTTCTGGACTCTGACTTTGACCTCCATATGTCTCTCTCTGGTTCTGGTCTCTTTTCCTGTAGTATTTTGGATTCTCTGTCACATCCACAGTGTCAGAGCACACTCCACCTTCCATAAGCTTCATTCTGCACTGCCTCCTTTCTGTTGCTTGCGAAGGATTCATGCTGGGTGTTCCAGTACTGTCTCTCTGAGTTTTTTGTCTTAGATCCCAGTCATGATCTGGTTTTCTCATCAGGGACTCTATTAGCCCCCCATGGGCAGTGGGTATCGCAGGCCAGGGGAGGCTGTGCCTCCCCAAACAGCCAGGCATGGCTCCACCCACGCTCCGCCCCAAGGCCCCCTCCTGCTTCCCTCTCTTCCCAAGCTCTTCTTCCCCAAAATGGGTGGGGGCGGGGGCGGCGGCTTGGGCTAGGACAGGCCGGCCAGCAGCCTGGGACTCGGTGCTGGGGGGTGGGGGAAAGGGGTGGAGGAGGGGCAGGGCCTCAGGCACAAGAACTGGGGCCAGGGGGCTAACTTCCCCAAACGGGTGGTTCATGCGCCGCTTATGTAGCCCCCTCAAAATTACCAGATTGACTGGTCAGCCTCAGATCAGCCACAAGCTCTTCTATAGTTTCACCTTCTTTTTTGAATGCTCAGATTAAAAGCTTCTCTCTCCTATGGTTCATTTTTTGGGGAGTGCCTCCCACCTCAAATTTCTATCAAATGTCTGATAATCAGCCTCCTCTGCATGCGCTAAGAGGCACCTGTCAAACACATCAAGTGCTTCAGGACCTGCTATTGGCATTCACAGTTATCACATTTCCCCTCCCCCCCTTTAAATCAAGAGAGATTCACTGGTTAATTCTCTAGATGGAACAATTTCTGCCTTTGAAATTAACAAACTGCCTCCCTCAGGCCTGTGATCTCTGTTCATTTGTCCCCCTGTCGGTCTGTCTCTAGAGGACGTGACCCTGGAGCCAGACACAGCTCATTTACTCCTGCGTACTGGGCTTTGACAGCTACCTGTCAGGGAGACGTTAGTGGGAGGTGGCGGTGGCAGGTGCAAGGGGCTGGCTCTGGACGTTACCAGGGAGTCTGCCAGCAGGAAGGGCTGGTTCAGTTTCAGTTACAAGCAAGGGCCAGGACAGGGCAATCAATGTGTAGTGGAGCCAGCTAGACTTGCCCCAGAGACCTGGCAAGATCAGAGTGTATCTGGACTCCGAAGTTGGGACCATGTACTTCTATGGCACTGACCTCATGGCTCCCATCCATGCGTTCACTGCCTCCCTTATGGGGAAGAGCTGTCAGTTCCTCTGGGTCTGGTTTGTAGGGACCTCCCTTAGGCTGTGTCCCTGAGCCTTGCCCTCTCCCAGCCAGATCTCTGCACATGCAAACCTGCAGATGCATCATAGGATCAGAGGCAACTATCCAGATTGCGGGACAGCCCTTTTTCAATGCACATTGTGCCATAAATGGGCAGATGGCTGTGTTTGCTTAGCTACGAAACCTTATGGGAAGGTTGTTTTCACACTGCGGGAATGGAAATAAACCTGCTTTTAATGAAATAGAACATTGGAAACAAGTTCTATTGCATGCAACTGTACCATCCCTCCCAATCCAGATCATCAGCAAGAGTCAGACACCCAGCTACGTGAGGTTCAGATGCCTGGTTCCCAGGGGGTGAGATTTCCAGGACTGGTCAGACTACCAGTTTTTCTCTCTTTTTCTTTTTTTCCTGTCATTTTTCCAAAGCTGGAGAAGTTTTGAAAAGTTACAGAATGGAAAAAGGAAAAAACAATTTCCTAGATATTATGTTATTATTTATGTCTTTGTATTGGGGTCGTGCCTGGGAACCCCAGTCATGGACTAGGACTCCACTGTACTAGGTTCTGGCCAAACACAGAACAAAAAGACCGTCCCTGCCCCACAGAGCTAACGATCTAAATAGAAACAAAGAAAGCTCCATGGATGCATTTGTTCCTTGCATTCAGTGGCAAGAGAGGGAACAATAGGGAAGAAAAAAAACCCCAAACTCTGAAATTTCCATAGTCCAGAAATCGAAATGAAAATTTCAGTTCAAGACAAAACGAAAAATGCATCAGATTGAAATTCCCCATTGAGGAACCTAGCTGAAAAACACACTTTCCTGCCTCTCCAAATGATGGTTTGGATGAACTCCCGTTTTCCGGTGGGTGGGAAAAGGGTTTGGTTGGACCATTCCCAGCAGCAAGACTCGGGGTGCTGTTGTCTATTATCTGCGTTGTGTCAGCAGCTGAGAGCTCAGCCACTGGGCGAGACCACACAGGTCTGAGCAAGTAGCAGAGAGAAGAGCTTTGTGCAGTGACAGAAGCTCTGATATGGTTCTACACTAACTCACAGACACGGACATGGGTGTGTGTGTTTACGGTGGGAGGGATTCTCCTGATTATAGGCATGAGCCCACAGCTGGAAACCAGCCCTTGGGCTAGCCCCATTCCTGCATCACCCTCCCACAGTAAACCCAGCAAGGGTCAGGTGCTGCTGGTGTAACTCGTGGGCAGAACATCTAGGGCTGAGTTACACACAGACCTGCATCAAACAACCTGTTTATTCCCGCCCCACCCAACCCCCATCTGTGGGACCTCTCTCAGCTCAGGTCAGCAGCATTGTAGGTCACGTTGAATGAGAAGGGTGGAAAGAAAAAGTAGTTACCCTACGTCACAGGTTAATTGGCAGCTGGCTTAAAACAAACAAAAGGAAGTATTTCTTCACACAACACACAGCTAACCTGTGGAACTCTTTGCCAGAGGACGTTGTGAAGGCCAAGACTATAACAGGGTTCAGAAAAGAACTAGATAAATTCATGGAGAATAGGTCCATCAATGGCTATTAGCCAGGATGGGCAGGGCTGGTGTCCATACCCCTGTTTCCAGAAGCTGGGAATGGGTGACAGGGGATGGATCACTTGATGATCACCTGTTCTGTTCATTCCCTCTGGGGGACCTGGCATTGGCCACTGTTGGAAGACAGGATACTGGGCTAGATGGACTTTTGGTCTGACCCAGTATGGCCGTTCTTATGTTCTTACAAGGGTGGGGGAGGTAAGAGCGATGCAGTGCATCACCCAGATGTCTCTGGCAGAGCCAGGAACGGACCCACATCTCCAGGTTCCCAGCCAAGTGCCCTTTCCACCAGGCCAGCGATCTCCTCACTCCAGCTGGCCCCTGAATCTGGCACTGGGGCTCTGTTAGACCCTGACCGCACTGGTGCCAGGCGTTACTGCCCCAGAGCCCTCTGCTGCACACGTTCTTTGCATCTCCTTTCACGGAGCCTTTTCCAACAGGCCCAATTTGACATTTCCCGCCTAAGTCTTCCAGGCAGGGCCAGCAATTGCAAACATTGGGCAAGATCCCCAGCTGGTGGGAATCAGCCGTAGCTCCATTGGAGTCAATGGGGCCAGATCCCCTGCTGGTGTCAATGGGCCATAGCTCCATTGAAGTCAATGGGGTCAGATCCCCAGCCATTGATGCCGACTTCCTCCGGGCATGGCAATTGCTCAACCGCCCGCTTTGCCCAAGGTCCCGCCCCCACCCGTCCCCTTCCCTCCAACCCCCACCCTAGTCCTGCCTCTTCCCACCCTGCCTCTTTCCCGCCTTTTCCCACCTAGTTCCACCCCCCCCCGAGCGTGCCCCGTCCCTGCTCCTCCCCCTTCCTCCTAGACCCTCCTGCACGCCGTGAAACAGCTGATCATGGTGGGTGGGAGGCGCTGGGAGGGAGAGGGAGGAGTTGATCGGCGGGGCCGCTGGCGGGTGGGAGGTGCTGGGAGTGAGAGGGGAGCTGGCTGCCAGTGAGTGCCCATGGAGTCGGTGCCTATACCCCCAGCTGGTATCTATTGGAGTCAATGGGGCCAGATCCCGAGTTGGAGTCAATGGGCTGTAGCTCCATTGGAGTCATGGTGCCAGACCCCGCAGCTGGTGTAAGTTTACCAGAGCCCAATTTCTATTGATTAGGCCAGATCCTCAGCAGGTGTAAATCAGTGTTGCTCCACTGGAATTAATGCCAGTTTACACCAATTGATGATCTGGGCCAGTAGTTTCTGCTCTGTAAAAATGTATTATTTGTTGCTAAGGACAAAGTGACTGAATGGTTCAAGGTAATACAGTAATAAACATACCGACCTGATTCTCCACTCGTTCACCCCTGTGTAAATCAGGAGTAACCCCATTGGAGTCACTGGGGCTGGTTCCCTTCCATTTATACAGTGTAGCTTCCGCTGGGCCTGCGTAGCTATTTTCCAGCATAGTGATTCTCGGTCCAAAACTGCCAATGTCACCTGAAGCAAAGTCCCTGAAGTCTCCGTGCCCTCTGTACCTTGGGGGTAACCATCGCTCCCTGCCTCAGAAGGGGCGGTGAGGGTGAACTCATCAATGCATGTGAGATGTTCAGATACCACAGTAATGGGAGCCAGATAAGCACTGAGAGGTCCATCTGTGACCAAAACCCAGGAGCCTGATTCCCAGCTCCCACCCCACTCCCTGCTGTAACCAACTAGATCCCACTCCCTTCCTAGAGCCAGGAATAGAACCCAGGAGTCCTGGCTCCTAGTCTGGTGCCTCCGCATACAGATGCACAAGCCCCGGCCCGGGTGCCTGCCCTGGGTTGCATTCTGCTCAGCTGACTCGTTATCTCAACACAGGAGATTAGCTCTCTCCTGGCAGGGTTGCCATGTCCAGAGCGTGATTAGAGGTGACCTGTGACTGGGATGAAAGTCCGCCCTCCTTGTTCTGTTGCACTTTGAGTTGTTTTCCAGGCAACCAGAAGCCCCCTTGGAGAGAAGAGGACTGAACCCAGCAGGGTGGGAAATTGCCTGGTCTGCAGCCCCAAACCATATTCTAACTGCCCAGCACTGCTGAGGGCTCAGCCGGGCATCCAGCCTCATCTCGGCAGGTGCTTCAAGGGCTGGGAACATGATGGGGATTTGATAAGCAGCCCCCAGAGGATCTGTACGGGCCAGGAGGGGTCAGACGGCAGCTGGGCCTGAGCAGGTAGGAAGGAAGGAGGCGAGTGCTGGGGCCTTTCAGGTGTAACAAGCAGGCACAATGCCAGCCAAAATCAATGGGGGTTATTAGCGATTTGTAGGGGGGAACATTGTGGGTTAGTGGATAGGACACTAGACTGGGAAGCAGGACTCCTGCGGTCCATCCCTGGTTTGGGGAATGGAGTGTGGCTAAGTGGTTAGAGCAGGGGAGTTGGGAACCAGGACTCTTGAACTCATCCCTGGTTTGGGGAAGGGAGTGGGGTCAAGCAGGTTAGAGCAGAGGGGCTAGGAGTCAGGTCTCCTGTGTGATCATGGCTAGTCTATCTATGCCTCAGTTTCTCCTCCATAAAATGGGGATAGTGGTCCCTCCCCTTGTAGGGGGGTTGTGGGGATTATTTAAAGTTGGCTAAGGGGGCTCGGATAGTCCAGCAATGAGGGTGGGGTGGCTCAGAGACATGCCTACAAGTACAGTAGAAAGGACAATCCCATTTGAGGTGGAGGGACAGAGAGTGGAAGTTATCTCTGGCATACTCTTTTTCCAGGGCAGAGATTCTCCTAGAACAGGGGTAGGAAAACTTTTTGGCCCGAGGGCCACATCTGGGTGGGGAAATTGCATGCGGGGCCATGAATGTAGGGCTGGGGCAGGGGGTTGGGGTGTGGGAGGGAGTGTGGGGTGTAGGAGGGGGGTGCAGTGTGGTGTACAGGAAGGGGCTCAAGGCAAGGGGTTGGGGTGCTGAAGGGGTGCAGGGCATACGGGGGGGCGCAGGGCCGGGGGGCCGGGTACCTGGGGGGGCTCCGGGGTGGCAGGGGTGCGCAGCGGGGCTAAGACAGACTCCCTGCCTGCCCTGGCCCCGCGCCGCTCCCGGAAGCAGATTGCAACACATCCCTACGGCCCTGGAGGAGTGGGGGCAGAGGGCTCCGTGCGCTGCCCTCGCCTGCAGGTACCTCCCCCAAAGCTCCCATTGGCCGTGGTTCCAGTTCCCGGCCAAGGGGAGCTGCGGGGTGCAGTTCCTGCAGGCAAGGGCAGCGCACGGAGCCCTCTGCCCCCCCCCCTTCCCCAGGAGCCGCAGGCACAGGACCCGCAGAGCCACAGGTGTGGCAATCCCGCGGGCCGGATCCAAAGCCCTGATGAACCGGATCCGGCCTGCGGGCCGTAGTTTGCCCACCCCTGTCCTAGAAGGATCCACTCCGGACAGCAGCTTTCCCCCTGGTTGGTCACAGCAGATCCATATTCCCCGTTGGCTGTTCACATCCTAGCCGTCCTCATGGGCTACGATTCCTTGCTGGGTTACCCCAAGATGAAGGTCTACAGAGAAAAAGGTAACTGCTCCCGCATGGTTCCCAGGGCATCAAAGAACCAGACCCCTGTGGGTGCCGGTGCGACTTCACGGGGCGCTACACACCAGCTAGCCATACCGTTGGGATACCCCATCCTCCCATCCACTCCTGGGAAATGGAAGGTTCCCACTGGCCTTTGCTACCCTTTAGTGCCCACTATATGGTATAGCTGCCCTTTCCCCACCCCTCACCCTCTGCTGCCCCTAGTGCCCATTATGCAGTTTAGCCACCCCTTCCTGAGTTCCACCCTCTGCTATCCTGTTCCCATTATACATTGTAGCTGCCCCCTCCCACCTCTCACACTCTGAGACCTGGGGATACCAGTCCTCTCTCAAGTCTCTGACTGTAAATTTTAAATTTTCTATTGAGAATCTCTGCCCAGGGCCCTCTGTCCTTTAGTTATTTCCCAGAGCCTGAGAAAGAGGAATGGAGGAGCTCTTGCCTGAGCAACCGCAATAACATTTTCTGCTCCTATGTGTAAGCTTAGGCTCTCACCTGCTGGGTTGTCTCTCTCCACAGAGGATGTCACTCTGGACCCACATACAGCTCACCCCAGTCTGGCCCTTTCCAAGGACCGGAGAAGTGTGACAGCCACAAAGACAAAGCTGACTCTGGCCAACAACCCAGGGAGATTCGACATTTACTCCTGCGTGCTCGGCTCCGACGGCTACGAGTCGGGGACGCATTACTGGGGCGTGGAGGTGGCTGGCACAGGGGGCTGGGCTCTGGGCATCACCAGGGAGTCTGCCAGCAGGAAGGGATGGTTCATGTTCAGCCCCAAGCAAGGCACGTGGGCCATCCAGCTCTCCAGGGGCCAGTACCGGGAAGTCATTGCGGAATGGAGCCTGATGGACCCGCCCCAGAACCCTGGCAAGATCAGAGTGTATCTGGACTATGAAGGAGGGGTTGTGTGCTTCTACAATGCTGATACCATGGCCTCCCTCCACCTCCCCTTTTCTGGGAAGATCTACCCGTTCTTCTGGGTCTGGTCTGTAGGGACCTCCCTTAGACTATGTCCCCCACAACCCTCCAATAACTGAGGGCACAGTCTAGAGGCTGCTGCCATTTCTGAGGACATCAATGGATTTTGGATCATGTTTTGTCTCAGCCAGAGATTGAAGCATGAACACCGTGATGCATGTGGATTTTAGCCCATGAGGCAGCATCTCCCTTAAACACCTCTTCGCTGCCTGCCACGCTGCCCCTTGTGCATGGCAAATGCTCCCTAATAAAACCCAAGCAGCTGCTACCTTCTCCTCCCCCAGGTCCCTCCTTAATTGTTACCTCTGCCATGATGCCTCCAGAACTCAGCCTGGTGATCAGGGCTAGACAAGTGATCTGCTGTGAATATGACTCTTTCTCATCTTTCCTATCTTGCTCTACACCTTTACCTCCAATTGAAAAGAAATATACCCTGTGTAGCTAGGTAAGGTGGTCCAATTCTTCCCCGTACTGTGAGAGAAATGAGAATTCTGGTTTAGCATGTGTGTTAATTGTTTTGTGTTAGAGGGAATTAATATAGATGTCAGTGCAGCTCTCTCCTTCAAGGTGTATAGGGTATAAACTGGTGATAAATTCACTGAGGCTGGATATTAGAAGGAGCTTTCTAATGTAGCCTTTTTTCTAGTTAACGTGAATTTTGTACTGTGGTATTACAGCACCGTGGGTTTGACTCTGGCGGCTACAGTTTCAAGCTTAACAGTGTGAAAGTCACCTCTGCTACTTGCTTTAGAGAAGAATCTTTATGAACACATAAAGATCAAGCATAGTGACCACACATACATTCACAAGTACAAGGTCTCGTCTGTTTTACAAGTTTTATTAAAGTTATGATTACCTGAGTATATAGAAATTCTATACAGACCTATGCACAAGTTACAAATATAGTTATACTCACATCCTCCTAGATAGTGTTAGGATCTGTTGTATCTCTCATGACTTGATCATCAGTAGAGGGATGGTTCCTGCTGGGGTTCCCATAGGGAACTCCATTTTTCTAATCTAGGCGCCTGCTTTATAATTTGATTCTGACTATACCTCATTCTGCGCATGTCCATAAAAGTGTTAACCCTCTTTTCTCTTATTGGTCTGCTGTCTCCTTGAAACTTAAGGACCCCGATTTTCTATAGGATAAGTTCCCTTTGTTCTTATTAGCATTGACACACAACCTGTATCCTGTGGTTAAGATATATGTCAGAGACAGATTTGCCTTTACAGTATTGTTATGATCTAATATTAATCTTCTGGGTAATTTTTCGCATTACCACCACTTGGTACCTCTTTTCCCATAATCTTAGGGCATTGGGTTATTTCTCGGTCATTGGCTTATGTCATCATTTCTTGTCTTCAAGGCCTAAAATATCTAAGCTGAAATTTTGCAGGCCTCAGCCTACAGATTCTTGCATTTCAGCTTGTCTTACTTATGTCTAATGCATTATTCTTTTATATACTAATTAATCTTATACTTTTATAATCCTACAAATTAACTCTAATTAACATACAATGAATATATAACATGTTGATAAATGAAAATAAACTAAAATCATTGGCTACACTAACCATCAGAAGAGTGAGGTTCTGGAACAGCTTCCCAACAGGAATCATGGGGGCAAACAATCTATTTGAGGATGAATGAAAAGTTTGTGAACAAGATAATATATGGGGATGCCTGCAAATGGACCATCACCCAGGAGGTCCCTTCCAGTCCTATGTTCCTAGGTGAAAAGAAACAAAGACAAACCATGAGCTTTAACACATTGGGTGCCCCCCTAATTCTCTTGCTTGAGGCAAGGATGTGACAGCCTGTCATGGGATAACTTCCAGAGTGTTGAGACAATATGTGTGTGTGTGAGAGCAGAGCTGCTGGGTAGGCCACTAGCAGTTTTTAAGAAACTACTTAGGCCTATAATGGATGCTGATGCAAATGGCAGGACTGTAACGACACAAACAGCTCCCTCTCCCAATTCCCTACTGTGGGTGCACTGAGCATGCTCACCCGAACTGAGCATGCCCAGGAGGGTTGCTATTTGTGTTGTCACACATGCCGGGGCGCCCCTCGCTCAGGGAGGGGAGAGCTATTCCCGACCCGGTCCTGTGCGAGCCGGGCGCTGGCTGAACGGCCCCCTCGGGTCGGTGTCATAGCGGCGCCCGTGGAGCTTCCTGGCTCAGACCCGCCCTGCCAGCGCCGCCTCCACTGTGAGCCGGGAGCCCGGGCTGAGCCGCTGCTGCTCCCCAGCGGGGTGTGTGCGGGGAGAGCCCTTCCCTAGCGCCCCTCTGTGCCCAGCCGGGGGCGACTTTCTCCGGGGGCTGGAATCAGCCCCTGGGGCAGCCCCGGGCTCTGCCGACACCAGCCCCGGAGCTGGAGCCTGCAGGTGAGGAGAGAGACCCGGGGGAAAGGGCTGGGGCCGGCAAAGTACGCAGCTGCCTAGGTGCTCCAGCCCCGCCCCTTCCCCAAAGCCTCTGCCCTGCTGCGCCCCGGCCCCGCCTCTGCCTCCACGCCCCTGAAAAACTGCAGCAGGGTCGGGCCTGCGCTCACTGGTGGCTAGAAGTGCGGCGACCCGGACCCAGCCGCGCCGCTGGTGAGTGGTTCTCCCCCTACCCCCAAGCCAGCCCCGCCCCGCGCAGTCCTGCCCCCTGCGGTGGGGCTGCCTAGGGCCCCAGAATAGCTAGGAACGGGCCTGCCTGCGAGGCTTTCCTGTGCACATAGATGCCATCTGCACTTTCACCGGAGGGGAGAATGCATGGAAATAACAGTGGGAGCAAATTCAAAGGGTGATCCCGGACAACAGGGCAATTGAGATGGCTGAGGGTTTTCCCAGCAGGGCAGAGTCCAGAGTGTCTGTGCATGGCTTGGGGGGAATCTGAAACCTCTCCCCCGCCCTTCCCACCCTGACAGGCTGCAGAGTAACAACCACCTTTTGCTCCAGATTCACTTCAGATTGTCACATCACTCTAGGGGCCGGGGAAGGGAAATGCCTGCAGTGGACCCGGCTCAGGTAGGGGATTGTCAAGGGGTTGTGCGGGTGGCGGCGGGGGGGCTTTGCCTGAATGTGCGGTGGGAAGGGGAGGGAGAAGGCCATGCAGGGGAGGAGACCAGTAAATGAAATTCCTGCTGGAAGCCTTTAATGTCAGGAGATGGGCCTGAATATCACCAGCTTTTAAGCAATAAAGTCCCCCCCCCCCTTCAGCTGCCTGTCCCCACTCCCCTCCCTGGCATGCGTCTCACTGCCTCCCCCCCACACACACACATCTAGCACCCTCCTCAGTGTGCTGCCTGTGGCACTCTTTACCTCAAGGTAGCACCCTGGCACCCCCATATTCACCTCTGTGATATGAGTATTGTATGTTTTGTATAAAGTATGCCTTGTGAGGTATCATTTAAAAGCCTTAATCTGTTGAAGATTAATATCCTGTTGGACTGTATGTGCTAGCATTCTATGTGAAGTATTGCCATACGTGTTACTGAAATATGTTGTGAGGTTGGGAACACCTATAATCAGCCTTTCAATTACAACAAAGGAGTAGCCGTCAATACCCAGGAGGTTAATCGCTCATCAACACATGGTTCCCTAGCCCAGAGAAGGCACATACACCATAGAGACAGACTAATCCACATTACAGCAAATATCTTTCCAGAAAGCTGGAAGAACTTATAAGAGATGCAGTGACATCATCACTTGACTCCTTCCCCTCCCCTCCCCCATCTTAACACCTGGAAGTTTGGCTGAAAGACAAGGGCTTTGAACTGAGGAAGTTTGGCCCCAGGCTGGAAGGTACCGTAGTCCCAGCCAACGTACTGAGGACCTGTAACCTGCTTTTACCATCTGTCACAGTGAGAAAAACTGTTTGATACAACTCGTGCTTAGACTAAAAGATTAGGATTTAGAATTCATGTTTACTTTTTATTTTCTTAAGTTAACTATATCTGACCTTTATGCCTACTACTTATAATCACTTACAATCTATCTTTCTGTAATTAACAGACTTATTTTAATGTTTTATCCTTACCAGTGAGTTTGTCTAAAGTTCTTGGGAAATTTCAGATTACAAAAACTGGTGCATTTCCACTTTCCTTTGATGAAGTGGCGAACTAGGTAATGAACTTACACTGACCAGGCTTCTGACCAGTGCAAGACAGTACAGTTCAGGGATGCAAGACTGCGGAGCTGGGGGGAATTGCCTGGGGTCTCTTTATTGATGGTTCATGAGTGGCTGGGAGATCATTCATGCAACACATGAGTGTGTCCCTGCCTGTGGATGTCTGTGTAAGTGCAGTGCCTGTCAGATGCTTGTAGCTTGACATCAGTATCACAGAGGGAGAGGCAGTCCAGGTTGGTGGAACAGAGGCTCATCAGTCGCACAGTCCAGCCTGTACCCCAGGGACCCTGTCACAGCCTCTCAAACTACACCTCCCACATCCCCAGCACTCTCCTCAGTCTGCTACTAGAGAAATTCTCCAGCCTCCATTTTATCTGCCTCATCTCTATTTCAGGACAGACAAGAGCTGCTCCACTCTATGCTGCTGATTTTAAGCATGCTCAGTACTGAGATAGGGTGAAAAATTCAGCTAATTGGCAGAAAGTCCATAATTTCTAAGACGGTGCCCTGACAAAGAGCCAGATATGAGTGTGTGTGTATGGACAGAATCACACCTCTGAGGTAGAGTCTAGTGAGCATGTGCAAAATTAGCAGCTACTGAGCATGTGTAGTATGGGGTGAGGAAGCCCGTCTGTTAGCTGATCAGCAGGCTGGTTACAGCCCACTCATATCAGTTACAACTTGTCCTAAACGTCAGAGCTGTCAATCACAGCTCTGAAATAGTGGTTAATACTGAGCATCTGCAAATGAGGTAATTGCTTCTAAAACTAGAAAGTTATACTAGAAGAGAGCCAGCATGCAGAAGGGGATTTGGATTAGAAAAAAAGAGTCAATCCGGAAAAGTGGGACAAATTAGAAGCCAGCCAGGGAAGCCAAAGAAGAGCTACTGGAAACATATTAGAAATGGTGCTGCAGAGAGAGAGAGAGAGAGAGAGAGAGAGAGAGAGAGAAAATCAGAGTGGAGCAAAACTGACTGACCAGGGGCTGAACAGCAATAACATTTATAAAGCAATAACAGTGATTTAAAGGGATACTAACGGATTTATAAAGTAAACCTGCTATTCTTTCAATTATAGTAGAATATAAGCATAAAATTGCAATTTAACTGTGTAAACTTTAAAGCAATTTAAGAACTGCTGTTAGCAATTTGTTACAAACTGGCCATTTGTAGCAAAATGCTTCGCTTAGAATCATTTAAACTGTATGCTGTTGCAGTTTCAATGCTTTGTAATTTGCAGTAAGAGATTTGTGTTTATTTTCTATTACTAGATTAGATTGTAGTAGGGATTATTAGTTACTTTAATAAAAAGATACTTTGTAGTTTAGGAAAGCATACTGCCTGTGTCAATTACTTTATCTGAAGGTTATATCTGTGTCCTTTAGTATTTCCCTTAACAACTCTGGAAATGTATACCTTGGAGAGGACAGATTAAGGGAGCAATAGGCAGGTCATTTACCTAAGGGCATCCAAAATCTATTTTGGGGTAACAAGTCTGCTGCCTGTTCCCTCCCTCCCCAGTGTGTCTCTGAACCTCTACGCCCGCAGCACCTTCCTCAGCTTGCTACCCACCTTCCCCCACAAGTAAATCCCCCTGCATCCTCTTCATTCTGCCTCCCATACCACCGTCTCCTGCTGATTATTCCCCTCCCCCACATCCCCCTGGGGCCTCTTCCAGCTACCTCCTGACACGCACAAACCCCCGCACTGTCAAGGCTCAGGCCTTGGCTACACTCGGGACTTCACAGCGCTGCCGCGCTACCGCAACAGCACTGTGAAGCGCGAGTGTAGTCGCGCCACCAGCGCTGCGAGAGAGCTCTCGAAGCGCTGTATGTACTCCACCTCTCCGAGGGGAATAGCTTGCAGCGCTGAGAGCGAGCGTGCAGTGCTGCAGGCTCTGATTACACTGGCGCTTTACAGCGCTGTGCTCGGGGGGGGGAGGGGGGGCGTTTTCACACCCCTGAGCGCAGCAAGTTGCAGCGCTGTACAGCGCCAGTGTAGCCAAGGCCTCAGTCTGCGTCCCACTCATCCCCCATGCATCATCCTGTCTAATCCTCGGTCTGCTCCCACCCCTTCACAAACACATTCCCCTGTGACCTCCTTTGTCTGCCTCCTGCCCCCACTCAGTTGCCCAGACCACCAACGGGTCCCACTCTTCTGTAACGGCCTCAGCGCCTCCAAGAACAAGTGTCTGGGCTCCAGCCTTGCTGCTTCATGCCGTGAGCTCTGCCCAGCAAGTCCAAAGGAGCCAGACTCCTGGGCAGAAACCTGCCCACTCTGCAGGGACCAGTGCATCTCAGCCAGGATTTGCAGTGACACCCGGCAGCCTTTTCTAAACAGAACAGGGTTTATTAGTGAGCGGGGACCCAGCACAGGGAAGCCCTGAGGTTAGCAGAGAGAAGCAAAGGTTAAGGTTAAGCCATAGCCCATCCTGGTCAAGCCAGTGCAGTTAGCCAGCCAAGCTGTGATGGATTCCATTACTGGCTCTGTTTCTTTGGGTGTGTCTACACAGCAACTAGACACCCGCAGCTGGCCCATGCCAGCTGACTCGGGCTCATGGGGCTCAGGCTGTCGGGCTGTTTCATTGCTGTGTAGACATCTGGGCTTGAGCCTGGGCTCTAAGACCCTGTGAGGTGGGAGGGTCCCAGAGCTGGGGCTCCAGTCTGATCCCAGAAATCTACACAGCAATGAAACAGCCCCGTGAGCTTAAATCAGCTGGCACAGGCCAGTAGTGGGTTTCTGTTTGCTGTGTAGACATACTCTCTGTCAGTCCAAGGCGAGAGCTCTGTCTCTCCAGAAGGCAGCACCTAACCTGGCCACCTGACACCTTTCCCCTTTGTTCTCTAGCTGGGGCCTTGGCTCAGCTTCCCATCCCAGCTGTGGGGGGGAAATCTCCTTCCTCTGGGTCGTTGGTTGCCAGGGGTGAGTGTCTCAGCCCCGAGGACTCCCACTGTCTTTTCGGATTCTCCATTGATCTGGGGGTTGGCTTCCAGCCAGCCCTTTAGTTATCAGTCATTCCACCCTAGACAGCGAGGTGGCATCCCCCCACCCCAGCCTCACATGTCTTCTCTGCTGCTCCAGGAGCAGTGTTAACCCTCCTGCACCCACTGGGTAGCAATGTATAGTAGAGAGGGAAACTGAGGCACACCCATGGGCGTCATGAAAATCAGGGATTTGGAGCAATCAAAGTTTTGAATTGCTCCGCTCTGGCTCTGCTCCAGCTCCGGGCAAAAACCTACTGGTCTGTGCTCCAGCTCCGGAAATATTACATTGAAAATATTACAGAAAATTCCCACTTGGTCATACCTCCCCCAATGCACATCCCTCTGTGTCGTCCTCAGCCTGCCGCCCCTCTCCCAACCTTGCATTGTCCTTGGTTAAGCTCCTCTCCCCACACACACATCCACCTGCACCCTTTTCATTCTATCCCACATATCCCCCTTTTTCCCCCTCAGACTGACTCCCTTCGTCCCCCTCATCCTTCCTCAGTTTACGAGCCCCAACATGCATTACTAAGCGCCCTCCTCTGCATCCTGCCCCTCCACACATGTCCCCTGTGACCTTCCCAGTCTGCCCAGCTCGCTCCCACACACACTCCGTCCACCTGCTTCTTCCTCTCCCCACCTCTAGCACCACACATTCCCATTGTTCCCCATAGCTATGTACACAGTCTGCCAACCCCAGAGCCCCAGCCACGTCCCCCCAAGAAAGCCTGGCTTCCGCCTCCCTGAAAACAATGGGAGCTGGTGGCCACTAGATGCAGCCTCTCTTCCACATGCCAAACAATGGGGAAATGGTGGCCATCTTGAGTAAGGTCATCTTGGCATTAGGCTCTCCTCTCCCACAAAAGCAATGGTAGAGGATAACCCTTAGAATCTTAGAATATTAGGGTTGGAAGAGACCTCAGGAGGTCATCTAGTCCAGTCCCCTGCAGGACCAGCACCAACTAAACCATCACAGCCAGGGCTTTGTCAAGCCGGGCCTTAAAAACCTCTAAGGATGGAGATTCCACCACCTCCCTAGGTAACCCATTCCAGTGCTTCACCACCCTCCTAGTGAAATAGTGTTTCATAATATCCAACCTAAACCTCCTCCATTGCAACTTGAGACCATTGTTTCTTGTTCTGTCATCTGCCACTACTGAGAACAGCCTAGCTCCATCCTCTTTGGAACCCCCCCTTTAGGTAGTTGAAGGCTGCTATCAAATCCCCCCTCACTCTTCTCTTCTGCAGACTAAATAACCCCAGTTCCCTCAGCCTCTCCTCGTAAGTCATGTGCCTCAGCCCCCTAGTCATTTTTGTTGTCCTCTGCTGGACTCTCTCCAATTTGTCCACATCCCTTCTGTAGTGGGGGGACCAAAACTGGACACAGTACTCCAGGTGTGGCCTCACCAGTGCCGAATAGAGGGGAATAATCACTTCCCTCGATCTGCTGGCAATGCTCCTACTAATACAGCCCAATATGCCCTTGGCCTTCTTGGCAACAAGGGCACACTGTTGACTCATATCCAGTTTCTCATCCATTGTAATCCCTGGGTCCTTTTCTGCAGAACTGCTGCTTAGCCAGTCGGTCCCCTTGAGCTCCTCCAGTTCTAACTCATTGCCCCCAGGTCAGGACTGTGCACTGCAGGTGTCGTGTCCTCCTGGCAGATATAATTCATGGCTTTCCGCACACCCTGACTGACACCTGACAGTAGCTCCCTGCCACCTGAGTGTTCAGATGGGATGTGGAGGCAGAATTGGGTGTTCTCCTTCCAGGTGTGTGAGTGCTCTGTGATCTGTAGCCAGAGAGCTTTCCTTAGTGGTACCTGTCAGTTTTCTGTGCATGTCCTCGTGTATCTAGGCAAAGGAATAAAAGGTGGAGTCACCCCAGCACCTTCACAGCTCCTTTTCGCCATCAGTGTCTGGTGGTTGGAGCTCTCCATCGGCTGTTGTTCATGGGTTACCTTCCTTCTTCCTAGGAAACTTTATTTTTTCTGTAAATAGTTCTGGTAGCATATTGTGTACCCATGTTTTTCCCATTGGAGATTTGATTATTTCTTATTTTATAAAGTTTTTGTTCTTGTTTTTCTCTGGGGCTCTTTTACCTGGTACCAGTGGGGCTTGGTTATGCCAAAGTTTCCTAGAGTTCAGCACTATCTCACTTGCAGGGTGTCTAATGCACTGAATGACCCTCACACTCGTTTATTTTGCCTTGGTGAGGGCACATGAGAGACAAGTGCTCTATTTGTAGATCTTTCAAGAAAAGAACACAAAAATCTAGGGACATAACCTTTTAAACTTATCTTATAGAGCGTGCTGTGCATCCTTTCTCAGACCTCAGTCATCTGGAGTCCAGTACTTTGTCCTGGGCCAGGAGTTCTCCTATGGATCTTTCTGACTCAATTGTTCCGCTTCTCCCACCACGTCTTGTAAGAGCTGTAAGTCAGTCTCCAGGCAAGACTTAACTTATAAATCAAAGAGCTCTTTTTCTTCTTCAGAACGGGACTCTGGGAACTGAAAAGCCTCAGCAGAGTCCTCATGGGAACTGTCAGGTGCCAAGGTTGGAGCGCAAGCTGCTCACTGGTACCAACAGTGAATCAGGACAGGAAATCCAGCCATTGACTCCGTGACCAGTGCATGTGTCCTTGAGAATGGCTCTGACAATTTATTAGAGGCGTGAATTTCAGTACTACCATAAGTATAATTGGTAATCACGACACCTGATGCTCATGCAATGTCATGAGATTTGCTCTCTCTGGGTGCAGGAGTCCCCTTGGCTGCAACAAGACCCAACTCTGACTACTCATAGGATACAGACTTTTTTACAGCCGAAGCTGCCCTAAGCACTGGGTAGAACATTTGTAGGAACAATACCATCAGCCATGGCATCCTCGGCACCTTTGAAGCCTCCAGTACCGGTTTCTTATACGCAGATGGTTTCGATAGGACTCAAGCCATCAGTACCGACATTTACACCTACCAAGAGGCACAGCTCCAGAGGCTGTACTCCGGTGATTCCCCCTAGTATCACACCACCGGTGGCAACCAACTGCCCATATTCATTATCAGATTCAGAAGAAGAACCCTATACTACTTACTCTAGAGGGAGATCTAGATTCTCTCCATTACATTCTTCAGTGACCAAATACAGCATTCGATGGAAATGATACCACAATGGTAGATCTAGACATAGATCTCCATGATCTTGCAGATGAACCCTGTGTCATACAGGTACATGCAATAGCTGTACAGGAACTCATGCGACATCCCTCCAGCTTCTAGGCTGGCTTCTCCAGACTGTTTTCACAGAAGTTTTGTGTGGGTGGGAGTTGAGGTAAGACTCACATTATAACTCAAGCTAGCTGTGCTGTGAAGACACACTCTGTCAATAAGATTTGTGAAAGGAATAACTAGTCTTTTTTTCTCAAGTTACGGTGCCAACAACCCTGACATTAGAGTTTAGTATTGTCTCCTCCAGGAATCCTCCCTTTGAGCCGATGGCTTTTTGTCCTCTTCAGTACTTACCCTAGGGTGGCCACTCACGTGCTCCAGGAATACAGGACATTCCGGTACTTCCCAGAACATCATGAGCCTGTTCCTGCTGACATGACCCCATGCCCACCAGAGTGACTTCTCATGCATGGTGTGTGTGAGCTCACGCCACATGGGAGGTGTAATTTTTAAGTGTGCACCACCCTAAAAGGTCACACTGGCAAGGATAGAGCAACATGCTCTTCAGTATGGCATCCCCCATCTGATACTGGACAAAACCAGTTTCGTCTGAGTACCAGATGGGGACACACCCAAGGAAAGCAGGACTGTCTGGTTTAATACCGGATGAGTGGCCTGCCTAATTTATCAGCTACGGGCGCCTTTCCAGTGGCAGTTACTTCCACTTGAAGGGTTTGGAAACCACAAGCATGAATTTCATACCCCTCCCCCCACCCCTCTTTCCACTATTTTTATGAGGATAAAGTTGCTTTAAAGCCTCATCCAACGTTCTTTATCCAGGCTGGTTACCGATTTCCATCTCAACCAAACCAGCTTTTTACCTCCCTTTTCCCCCAGACCACATTTACGTAAGCTTGAGGAGAAACAGCATTTTCTGGTCATCTGCTGGGCCCTTGCCTTTTATCTGGACAGGACAAAACAGTTTCAGTCTTTGCCTCAATTCTTTGTTTCCTGCGTGGAGAGAATGAAAGGGCAGGAGATTCCCTTACGGTGAATTTCTTGGTGGGTCACCTCTCGTCTCACTACAAGTTATGATGTTGCAAAGTTAAAACCACTTCCAAGCTGACCGCACAATCGGTGAAAGCCTCAGCAGCTTTCCTAAGGGATATTTCAATCCCAGATATCATCAGGGCAGCAACCTGGTCTTCAATTCACACTGTTCCCAAGCACTGTGACACTTCAGCCACTTCCAGAGACTGTGCTAGCTTTGGAAAGGCTGGTCTGCAGTGGCTTTGCAGATAGACTCCGAACGCTCCTCCACAGAACACTGCTTGGGAGTTACCTGAAGTGGAATAGGACCATGCAATCACTCAAAGAAAAGAAAAATTACATACCGATATATAACTGTTGTTTTCCAGGTTGTGTTGCACATGTCTATTCCAGCACCCGCCCTCTTCCCTTCAGAATCCATTATATTAGGATGCTGATGCAAATGAACTGAGATGGTGCAGGGGGGAGATCTGCCCTTCATGCCCTCACCTGGAGGCATGAAGACATGCATGGCGCATGTGCCATCCTGATGGACACCGCTAGAGAAAACTCTCCCATTAGAGTGCACTCAGAGTGCACACCCCTAAAGCAGAATAGAGGTGAAGGGGAATAGATGTGCACAACATCTTGAAGAAGAACAAATACAGTACAGGCAGGGAGCTATTTTTTCCCTTCTCTCTTTCTTCCGGGGAAGGGTTTGTGGGGGATTCAACTCCTGATTTGTCAGTGCTCCCAGCATTTATTTTGGTCTGTTTCCCCACTTTCCCGTTCCCCTTTTCTGACCTTCTCTTTCCCCCCAGCACAGAGAATGACTCCTGTCTGGATTCTCTCTCTGTCCCAGCAGGTGGTGAGATGGTGAGTGAGGGCAATGAAGAGAGTCCTTGTCCGGCACGTCCTGAGCGAATGGAACCAAAGGGGTCGTTGCTGGGAAGGTGTGAAGGGGATGATTCCCAGAGTCCTGGGCAGGGACAAGCCCAAGAAAATCAGTGCAGCCCAGAGAAGCAGCAGGGAAACCCCCCAGGGAAGACACTGGATGAATCCACTCTCCGAGGTTTGGAGGATTGTAATGAGGCCACGATCCAGCCGAGAACCTGCACTAAGGAGAAGCGTTTCGAATGTGCTGAGTGCAGGAAACACTTCAGTTCTGGATCACACCTTATTAGACATCAGAGATCTCACACGGGAGAGACCCCCTATAACTGCTCTGAGTGTGGGAAACAATTCAATGACCAATCAAACCTTATTAGACATCAGCGAACCCACACAGGAGAGAGACCCCATAAGTGCCGTGACTGCGGGAAAAACTTCAGTCAGAGGTCAGGCCTTATTGTACATCAGAGAATCCACACAGGAGAGAAATGCCATAAATGCCCTGACTGTGGACAAACCTTCACCCAGAGTGCACATGTAACTAGACATCAGAGGATTCACACGGGCGAGAGACCCTATGGATGCCCAGAGTGTGGAGAAAGCTTCGCTTGTACCTCAGATCTTATTATACACCTGAGAGTCCACACGGGAGAGAAACCCTATAGCTGCCC